CCCACAATATCTGCGAGGTATACCTCAGCTGCTAGGCCTCAACTGAGAATGTTAACCTTAGGAAAGGATTTACATTTTGCTTCTGTTAGATGCGTTCGGGTTAACTTTATGTTAAAATTTCACCTTGGTGTTTCTCAAACTATGAAGTAATGTAAATCCACCGAACACAAGTATAGACAGACCCAAGACAGTGAATTCCTAGGGGAATCCTCTTCTTCCACTGCAATAGAAGGAGACCCATGAGTCTTCCCATCTTACCTCTGTGTTAGCGGATGGTCATCTTCTACACCACACCTTCACCAGGTTATAATGCTTTCAGGACCTAGCTTTACGTGAGAGCTTCATTTCCAACTCTCCACTCTGCATATGCACAAAGTTTGCCCACTGCACCTCATGATAATTAGAGCCGAGGCCAGGAGTGGCAGCAACAGCAGCTCTTGGGTTGCTTTGGTTTTTAGTCCTTTTCAGTTCCCAGGAAGCTGAATTCTCTTCTACTTATTTTCAGATCCCAACTCAAGTAACACTTTCTCACAGAAGCCATCCCTCATTCTTCAGGATAAGGGACCCGCTCTACATTTTCACAGCTTCCTATATTTTTCCTCCACTGAACTTAATTATTTGTAGTCATGTTTAATAGTGTGATTGTTTAGTGCTTGTCTCTCTCACTAGATTGTTAGTTCCATCAGGGAAGGAATCATTTGTTTATCATAGTACCCAATATGGCACATCACAGAAACAAAACAAATATTTGCCAATGAATAAGATGAATGAGTGCGTGGCAGCGAGAGGGGATGCATATTAATATGTATATAACTCTTCAAGGAAAGTAAAGGGTGGAAAACTGAACAGGAAAAAAGGAAACATTTTATTATGAATTATTTCAAAATTGCAGGAAACAGATGGAAAATCCCTGGGTAGCCACTTCCCAACACAACCAAACTCTTGCATATTCACCATTTTGGTTCCTTTTTACTTGAGATATAATGCTCAGATCTTAAGGATGCCATTCAGTTTTGACAAATGCATACACTCACATAACTCATGCCTTTATTAAAATGCAGAATATTTTTATCAGTCCAGAAATTTTCTTCATCTCCCTTTAATATCTCCATTCCCAGAAACAGTCCCTGATCTGATTTCCATGACCATAAATTAGTTTTGCCTATTCTAGAATTTCATATACATGGAATCAAACAGTATGTATCTTTTTGTGTCTGGCCTCCTTCACCCATCATAATGTTTTTTATATAATCTATGTTGTTGCATGTATCAGTGTTCATTCCTTTTTTGTGTTAAATTCCCGTGTATGAACATACCACATTTGTTTACCTAATCTTGTGTTGATAAATCCCTGGGATGTTTCCAGCTAATATGATTTGAACTGCTATGAACATTCTTGTACAAAGCTCTTTCTGGACAGATGTTTCCATTTCTCCTGGACAAATATCTAGGAGTAGAATTCCTGGGTCTTAGGATGATGTTTCTCTCTTTAAGAAACTACCAAATAGTTTTCCAAAGTAGCTGTACCACGTACACGCCCACCAGCAATGTATGAGATTTCTGAGTCCTCCACATCCTCTCCAACACTTGCTGTTGTCAGTCTTTTTCATTTTAGCCATTCTAGTAGGTCATTACGGTTTGAACTGGCATTTTCCTGAGGATTAATGATATCAGCCACTCTTTTATGTGCTTATTGGCCATTTGTACATCGTCTTTTGTGAAGTGTCTGTCCAAGTCTTCACCATTTAAAAAATTTGGTTTGGGGCCAGCCCAGTGGTCAAGTAGTCAAGCTCGCGTGCTGCGCTTTGATGGCCCGGGGTTCATGGGTTCGGATCGTGGGTGCAAACCTATGCCACTCTTCAAGCCATGCTGTGGTGGTGTCCCACATACAAAACAGAGGAAGATTGGCACAGATGTTAGCTCAGGGCCAATCTTCCTCAAGCAAAAAGGGGAACATTGGCAACAGATGTTAGCTCAGGGCCAATCTTCCTCACACACACACACAAAAACTTGGTTTGTCTTTTTATTATTGAGGTGCAGGAATTCTTTATATATTTTGTCCTTTGTCAGACATGTGCTGTAAATATTTTCTTCCAGGTTGTGGTTTGTCTGCTTATTTTTTAATAATATCTTTTTTTTTTGCTGAGGAAGAGTTGCTCTGAGCTAACATCTGTTGCCAATCTTCTTATTTTTGCTTGAAGGAGATTGTCCCTGAGCTAACATCTGTGCCAATCTTCCTCTATTTTGTACGTGGGTTACCACGTCAGCATGGCCACCAATGAGTGGTGTAGGTCCACGCCTGGAAACTGAACCCAGGCCACCAAAGCAGGGCAGGCCTAATTTAACTACTAGGCCACAGGGCCGGCCTCAATAATATTTTTCGATGAGCAAAAGATTTTATTTCGTTTTATTATTTTTTTTTGGAAGATTAGCCCTGAGCTAACTACTGCCAATCCTCCTCTTTTTGCTGAGGAAGATTGGCCCTGAGCTAACATCCATGCCCATCTTTCTCTATACATGGGATGCCTACCATAGCATGGCTTTTGCCAAGCAGTGCCATGTCCACATCCGGGATCCGAACCAGTGAACCCTGGGCCGCCGAGAAGCAGAATGTGCGAACTTAACTGCTGTGCCATCAGGCTGGCCCCTAAGATTTTATTTTTGATAAGGTCCAGTTTATCTCGTTCTTAAAAATGGTTTGTGATTCCTGTAACCCGTCTAAGAATTCTTTGCCTACCTGAATGTCATACAGATATTTTTCTAAGCTTTCTTTTAGTAGCTCTATGGTTTTAGTTTTTATGTTTATGATACGTTTCAAATTGGTTTCTATGTATGGTGTGAGGTAGGGGTTGAGGGTTGAGGTTCTTTTTTTCATATAGATATACAGTTGTTCCAGCAGCATTTGTTAAAAAGATTTTCTTTTCCCAACTGAATGTCTTTTGTGCCCTGTCAAAAGCCATCTGACCTTCTATGTGTGAATCCATTTTCTAGATGATTTATTTACCTATCCTTTTGCCAATACCACACTTTCTTAGTTACTGTGGCTTTACAGTAAGTCTTGATGCCAAGTAGGGTTAAGTCCTCCAATTGGTTCCTTTTCAAGACTGTTTTGGTTATTCTAAGACTTTTGGTTTTCCAAATACATTTTAAAATCAGTTGGCCAATTTCTAAAAAACGTCTGTTGGGATTTTGATTGATATTGAATCTATAGATCAATTTGGGGAAATCTACCATCTTAACAATATTGAACCTTTCAACCCATGAATATAGCATACTTCTCCTTTTTTTTTTTTTTTCAAGATTTTATTTTTCCTTTTTCTCCCCAAAGCCCCCGGTACATAGTTGTATATTTTTAGTTGTGGGTCCTTCTAGTTGTGGCATTTGGGATGCCACCTCAGCATGGCCTGATGAGCTGTGCCATGCCTGTGCCCAGGATCCAAACCAGCGAAACCCTGGGCCACCAAAGCAGAGCGCGCGAACTTAACCACTCGGCCATGGGGCTGGCCCCCCATACCTCTCCTTCTATTAAGGTTTTCTTTAATTTCTCTTAGGAATATTTTATAGTTTTCAGTTTTGAATGTCTTTCATTAAATTTATCTATAAGTATTTGATGTTTTTTAATGTTAAATGGTATTTTTTATAAATTTAATTTTCTACTTGTTCACTGCTAGTAGCTAGAAATACAATCATTTTTTGTGTGTTTACTTTGTATCTTGCAACACTACTAAAAAGTCATGTATCTATTTTAGCAGAGTTTCTGTAAACTCCTTAGGACTTTCTATACACAATCATGTCATCTGCAAGTAATGACAGGTTTACTTCTTCGTTTTCAATATTCAGGCCCTTTTCTTCTTCTTGTGTTGCACGGGCTAGGATGTCCAATACAATTTGGTGGTGAAAGTGGACATCATTCTCTTGTTCTCAATATTAGGTAGGAAAATTACTCCAACATTTAACCGTTAAGGGTTATATTAGCTCTAGGTTTTTTTGTAGGTGTTCTTTATCAGGTTGAGGAAGTTTCTTCTACTCCTAGTGTATTAACAAGTTTTATCATAAATGGGTATCATATTTTGTCAAATGCTTTTTCTGCTCTATTGAAATGATCTTATCATTTTCTTCTTTAAACTGCTAATATGGTGAATTACATTGGCTGATTTTTATATATTAAGTAAGTGTGCATTCCTAGGATAAATCTCACTTGATCATGGAGTATTATCCTTTTTACCTATTGCTGGATTCAATTTGCTAAAATTTTGTTAAGGATTTTTTCATCCATGTTCATGAGAGAATTTGGCCATCAATTTTCTTTTCTTATAATGGTCTTGTATTGTTTTGGCATCAGGGGATAGAGGCCTGATAAAATAACCTGGAAAGTGTTCCTTCTTTCTCTATTTTCTGAGAGTTTATGTCAGATTGTTATTATTTCTTCCTTAAGTATATGATAGTATTCAACAGTTAAGCCATCTGCGCTTGAAATTTTCTTTGTGGAAAGTTAATTATGAATTCAATTTCTTTAACAGATTTAGGACTACTTTGATTTTCTATTTATTCTTATGTCAGTTTTGTTACTTTGTATCTTTCAAGGAATTTGTCTATTTCATCTAGGTTGTCAAAATTATTGGCAAAAAATTTCACAGCATATTCCCTTATCATCTTTATAATGCCTGTAGGATCTGCAGCAATGTGTCTTCTTTCATTTGTGATATTGATAATTTGCATTTGCTCTTTTTCCTTTTTTCTTGATCAGTATTTCTAGGGGTTTATTAATTTTGCTGATCTTTTTTAAAGAATCAAATTCTGGTTCTTTGATTTTCTTTTCTTTATTCATTTTTTAAAGGAAAAGGATACTGTAGATAAAATTAAAGGCCACTGTAATCCCTTCCCTGAACCCACTTCTCCCCTTCTGTCTGTGAGTACCCACTCCCCTGAGTTTCATGTTTACCATACCCCTAAAGTAACGCTAATTTCTGCTACTCTACTGGGATCCTCTCTTCACTCACCATGTTTCCTGCCTCTGCAGCCAGACGGGCAGCATAGCGAGCTATAAGCCGGTGTTCCTCATCCAGTCGGCTAGGACTGTCCAGGACACTGCCAAAGAGATAAAAATTCAACAGGTATCTATTAAACACCCTTTGATATTGCTTCTCTGTTAGAAAGAAGAGATGGGACAAAAGCTTGCAAAAAAGAATGGTAGCAAAGGAAATGGAGGCCTGAGTGATAAATACTAATGGTCTTCTAAGACATGGGATTTAGAGAAACGATGAGGCCATGTGTGTCATTTCTCTTCAGCAGCATATCTCCACTGCTCCTACACCATCAGAAGGGGCACTTCTTTTTGAATGCAAGGGCTGAGAAAAGACAGGGCATTTACAAAATCTGGGAGAGGGATTTCTAATCAAATGCTTTGAAAAAACTCATGACTTTTAGACATAAGTCTTGAATTCAAAAAGTCCAAGAGAAAACCAAAGCATCATGAAAAACAGAGGGCTGAGAAAAAGGACATTTAACATAGCTGAGCAAAACTGAGGAACCTGGGCTAGGGCAGGCCCAATATATGGTAAAGGCAGAGAAGATTCCATGGTATCTTTCAATGCCCCTTTCTCTTCTTTTACCACGCTCGTTCCACAACTACAGCTCCATCTCAGACTGAAATAACGTAGTCTATTACTCTTTAACAGACACTCTAAAAATTTAAAGACCCACCTAGGTGGTCTATGAGATAATTCCGCACCTGGATGAAAGAAGTGTTCTTGGCTAGCTCTGTGTATAGGAGATACAAAGAATTTTTGAATGATTACCGTATAATTGACTCCTTTAATTTAGCATGTTACATCAACTATCCTTTATCCATATCAGGACATTCATAGATTAAGAGGGACTGTGGCTATATAATTATCTTTGTTTAAGTCTGGCATACGCTTTAAGATAACAGTGATAATGATGACTAACTGACCAGAGACAGCTGCTGTGGCTTGCTTCTACATTAGCCCAAGATTCTTGGAGTTCCAAAAACCCCTGACTGAAATTTGGCAATATGACAATTAATATGAAAAAATTTAAAGACATGAGTTCAATACTCATCAAATCTTGTTATAATTACTGAGGGGAATCTGGGAAGGGTGAAGTTAAATCAATAGAGATCTGTCTTACCTTTTCATATATGGAATCAACTGCATTTTCCCACCTTTCTGTATTTCTGTCTCTGTGGGTAATTCTTCAAGCCTAACTTGGTCTTTCCTCTAGGATGGATTTTTTCTTTTAAATGTGCTTTAAGTCTTCCATCTGTTACACTTCTGAATACTTCATAACGCTAGGTGTGCAAATGCCAGTCTCCAGCACGTACAATCACCCCCTCAAAAGACGATCTCGTAATAAGAAGATGCTACCATCGGTTGGCTTTAGTACCTTGGGGTCAAGGCCCCAAGGTGAGGGCTGAACTATAATATGTGCACCTTAAAGGTGTTTGTCTGAAATGAGAAAACTATCTTTATCTTTTACATAAACAACAACAAAAATGAACACTTAACAATACGAGTAGATAATATTATGGAGGGACTGGCAGCCTAAGAAGTAGGACTTAAGTGGCTGGTCTTTTTTTTTTGGCAAGGGATGCAATAGGTTACCCTGTGCAAAAGAGTTCCTCCTTCTCCATCACACTGCATCTCCTTAGGAAGGTTAATCCTATTTGTCATTTATGCCCAAATATGGACAACATGGTTGCTTTAGTTGGCTATGCTTTCCAGACAGAAACTAGAACTTTATGCTAATGAGAGGTTTTAAGGTCAACAAAAATTATGAAGAAAATTAGAAAGGTTCCTTATTCTTCTGCTTGAACTGACTTTCATTTTCAGAATTAGCCAGGAAATTTCTGACTTCTTTGAGGAAGTATGAAGGTCAGTTCCTTAGACTATAAATCAACAAGAGATGCAGTACTCACCCAATCCTCACGTTCTCCCACGGTTCCCAGACACCAATTCTTGCTCAGGGAGCCTACTCCCTAAGCCATGAGACTTGAGGGCCTTGGTTACACCTACCGTAAATCTTCTTGGGCTGAAATATCAGGTAGCAGTCTCTGTCCAACATTGTGCTGCTATTTTCGCCATGGAAATGTTTCATCACCCGGACAACTGCCCTCACTGATAATAAGTAAGCTGTCCTCCCAGGGGTGAGACAACTCTATTCCTGGAGCCCAAGGGGCTGAGACAGAGTGCAGAGAAATCATCTCCTGGATGAGGAGACACTCTTTGTGATACGATGCACGATTATCAGGCCTTTCTTTCCCTCCCATAGGCTAAGCCTATTAAACATAGGTGGGAGGTGAAGAGAGCCTCACAGTCTCCCTAAGGCTTTAGAGATAGGTGAATGCCTGAAAATAATAACACTATTTAGTCACACTGGGAAAACTATAGGAAATGGTATGAAGTATATTATTAAAAACAGTCCTTTTCAAATATATATTTTTGCACGTTGGTTATTAATTTATTCTTCTGTTATTATGGGAAATAAGAGCAAGGTCAAATGACCTTCCCATGGAGCCATGGCACGTTATGGGCAGAACTAAGGTAAAAGTTTAAGGCTCCAGCCTCTCTTACATGTTTAGCTTATAAATTATGGTTGTCTCTCTAAGAATAAGAACCTCAAGCTGTTGGGCTCAGTGACTCTTCTTTGCTGCTACGCAGAGGGGAAGGATGGCTTTAGATTATCTAAACTTTACCTGCCATTCTCCTTGCAGAATGGTGGTGGCGTGGGCATGGAGTGGGCAGGTGACTTTGGGTCTGCCTGAAGGTAACAGCACTTGGTTTGGCATTAACTCTTTTGAAGGGTTAAGTTTGCTGCAGTGAGCAGTTATCAAAGGATCTTCCATCCTAACCTGCTGAGGGATCAGTCATATTCCCATATTAACAGTGAGTCACCACCACAGTAGTTTTCAGGAAAAGGGGTATGTGGGGGCTATTACAATACATATAATTATTATAATATGAGAAGGTATGTATCATTTGGAAAAAGCCCTCAGGTAACGACGATTCAATATCACTGCTGAAAACCAGCCACTTCAATAATCAACAATGATAGATTCTGGGGACGAGATGAAGACGTAACATGTAAAGATGTAACAGGGCGATGTATCAAAGATTAGACAGAGTGAGATATCTGTGGGCTGATCAACCCTACCCTTTGAATGTCAACAGAAAGATTTCATTATTTAGGCAAGAATGAACAGTAGGAAGCTGCACCAAATCTTTCTGAGAATGTACACCTTTGGGACTGCACCTCTCTCTGAGGTTCATACACTCTTTAAGTGTAATCTGAAGGAAGTGAACTCCACTTAAAAGGAGAATTTCTGACTATATGTTTTGGTAAGTGCCCAGGCCTGGCAAGCTTCCTTCTCTTTTAGAAGCTAATGCTTTAGCAATTACTTAACCTCTGCCAAACACAGCTGGTAGCTTCTCAAGAAAAACCCCACATGCAAAGCTTTTTCCCGCTGGCAACCCCGTAACATAGCTCCCCATCCCTTTGATCAGCCCTCGGCGACCCGCCTGCTGCTGCCCTACCACTGACCGTGCACAGTGCTGCAGACGGGCCACATAGGAGGCTATCAGCGCATGCTCATCGGCCAAGTGACGGGGTCTATCCTGGCTATACTGTAACCTAGGAACAACGGAGGCAAAGACAGCAAGCAAGACACAAACACATACAAAGCGAGAAATGAACATGGGTTAAAATGGGCAAACTTCAAAGAAAACAGGAAAAAATCATAAATCATAAGGAAAATCATAAAAAACCACAAAGCATTATGGAATATGGTGTTAGACCATAGGGAATACATCTCACAAATCCTTTGAACAAAAGTAGTCCCCTAGGAGATGGCTTAGGCTGGCTGACACTACAGCCCTTGAGGAGAAACCAAGGAGGGGTCACCAAGGAACTCTGCCAACCAGTCTTGTCCAGGTTCTGGGCTCTGTGATAGATGCCCCTTTAGGGAATGCCCTCTGGCAGTAAAACAGGCAGAGTGGGTCTATTTAACATCACTAAGCGGTCCCCTAATGCTTTTATAGATTTTTCTCCACACGTAAGAGTTTTCAGTGTTACCTCAGGACACCAGTTAAAACTTTCTTTTTTTTTTTTTTTGGTGAGGAAGATTGGCCCTGAGCTAACATCTGTGCCAGTCTTCTTCTATTTTGTATGTGGGATGCTGTCACAGCACGGCTTCATGAGCTGTGCATGTAGGTCCACACCTAAGATCTGAACCTGCAAACCCTGGGCCACTGAAGCAGAGCATGCAAACTTAACCACTACAACACTGGGTTGGCCCCTAAACTTTTTATTTCTACAAGGATACTGTCTTTAGAATCATTCTATTTTCTCCCATAAAATTGGTACTTAAACCAAAATCATTGTCTTATAAGACAACACTGTCTACCTTTTGAATGAGGCTATCTCTCATAGATATATGGAAGGTCCTTACGCATGTGATCTTTTTTTTTTTTTTAACTTTTTACTATAGAAATGGTAAAATATGCAAAAAAATAGAGAGAGTAATCTAAAGACTATCCTTCATGTACCCATCACAAACTTCAACAAAAATTAACATTTTTGTCAACTTGTTTAGTCTGTTCTTCCTTTTCCCAACTTTTTGTGCAGGAAGAGGTGGTCAAAGCAAATCCCAGACTATTATTTCACTCAGAAATACTTAATTTACATAACTGCAATGCTATTATCACACCTAAAAAATTAACAAAATTTTTTTTAATAACTCAGTCCATCTGAAAATTTCCTCAAACCTTAAAAAATATCCTTTCACAGTTAAAAAATCCAAACAAGGTTCACACACCTGACATCTGGCTGATAAGTCTTTAACCTATAACAGTGCTTTCTCTTCCCTGTTTCTTTCATGTCATTTATTTGCGAAGAATACAGGTTATCTTGTAGCATATCCTACATTCTGGATTTGACTGTTTCCTGTAGTGCCATTTGTTTCTCTATCCCCTGGGGTTAGACCTAGATACTTGATTAAAGTTTTTGCTTTTGTTTTATTTTTGAGAAGGGGCTAGAATCCATCATGGGGAATATGATGCACTTATAAGTCAAACAGGAGGCACACAATGGAATATAAATATTGATCAGCGGATTCGATGTTATTGGCTGCATCTCTCCATCTTAAAGTCCCACCAACTTTTCACCCAATGGTTTTAGCATTTACTGATGATTCTCGCCTAGATTCATTATTTCATTAGGGGTTGCAAAATGTTGCTTTTCCAATTTTATCATCTTTTCTGCATTCATTAATTTCCTCTCTTTGTTTATCTTTAAATACTGCTCATTCAGGAAAGGTAAAACAAATGGTGGGTATTTCTTATTATTTAACAAAATTCAAAACAACGAGTTAGTGCCCTAGCAAACTCCAATGGTTTACCAAGGAGTTTTCTTTTTGAGTATCACCGTGAACTCATATGAACTCATAGATTTTTTTTTTTCCTTTTTCTCCCCAAAGCCCCCCAGTACACAGCTGCATATTTTTAGTTGTGGCTCCTTCCAGTTATGCCATGTGGGATGCCGCCTCAGCACGGCCTGATGAGCGGTGCCAGGTCTGTGCCCAGGATCTGAACCTGTGAAACCATGGGCCACCAAAGCGGAGCACGTGAACTTAACCACTCGGCCACGGGACCAGCCCTGAACTCATAGATTTTTATGTATCTGATGTGCTTCAATCAACTGCAACCATCTTTTTTTTTTGGTGAGGAAGATTGACCCTGAGCTAACATCCATGCCAGTCTTCCTCTATTTTGTATGTGGGATGCCACCACAGCATGGCTTGATGACTGGTGTGTAGGTCCATGCCAGTGATGCCAACCCACGAACCCTGGGCCGCTGAAGCAGAGTGCACGAACTTAACCACTACTCCACTGGGTCAGCCCATCTTCTAATTTTTTACTGTACGATGGAAGTTGTGAATATTATACTGTTGAATGTCTGGATTTTGTTGTCTTCCTCCAAAGAACTTGGTAGTCGGTTAATTTACTGTGGACAGCTTCATCCTCTTGAGGCTTGTGTTTAAGCTTCATTAGTGCAGATCTACAGTAACCTTTATGTAGGGCCATTTTCACCTGCTCCTAAGGGGTGGCCTTTCTGGAGTCTTTACTGAATGCCCCAAGTGTTTAACGATGTCTCTCTACTCTGGTTGGTGGGAACTCAAACAACTGTGTGAGCTCAGGTTCTACTTTCAAATATCCAGGAGTTGTTCTTTCCCAGGTAGTTGTTTTTTGCTGGTCTTGTAAAATCTTATTCTATGCAAACATACCTTAGTTTTCAGCCAAAGTCTCAAGGGAGCTCTATGCAGATTTATGGAGCTCTTTCTCTGCAACCTTCCTCCTCTCTGGTATTCTGCTTGGCAAACTCCAGCCTCCCCAAACTCCAATCTCTACGTCCTCATTCTCAGCAAGACTGCTTTGCTCTGCTTGTATCCTGCAATGGAGTCTGACAAATGCCTCCCAGCAGAAAGCCTGGGCAATCATAGGACTCTCCTCACTTGTTTCCATTCCCTCAAAGATCAGTCCTTCCCTACTTACTGTCTAATTTCTGAAAATAGTTGTTATATTCAGACCAATTTTCTAGTAGTTTATAGTGGGAGAGCTAATGTGACACCAGTTACTTCCCCATGACCAGAGTGGAAGTTGTCTCTGTAGTAATTCATTTTTATCATACTTGTGTAAAGTATCAGTCTACTTCAAACTAGAAATGAAAACAAAACAAAACTGCTTCTTTATGGCAGACAGATGGAGAAGCAGCACTATATAACCTCGCGGCCACTGCAAGGGCTTTAGCTTTGACTCTGATAGGAGGAGTTATTGGCGGGTTTCAAGCAGAGGTGAGGTATGATATAACTTATATTTTAATAGGATCATTTGCTGTATGGAACACAAAGTGCCAGAACACAAAGCAGCTAACTTGAAAGCTACTGCAACATTCCAGGTAAGAGACAAGAGTGACTAAGAAAATAGTAGCAGCAGTAGAAGTGGTAAGAAATAGCAAGATCCCGGACATATTTTGATGGTGTTTTTGGATAGAGCTGATCTAATAATCTGACAGGTTAGATGGGAGAAGAATCAAGGGTTCTCACTGAGCAACTAGAACAGGACTGCCATTAACTGAGATGGGGAAGACTTTGGGAGAAGTAGGTGTGGTGGGGCAAGACACAGAACTCACTTTGGAACATGCTAATTGTGAGATACGTATTAAATATCCAAGTGAAAGTACTGATCAGGAGAATATACGAGCTTAGAGCTCAGGGAGAAGGTCTGGGCCAGAAAAATAAGTTTGGGAGTCACCAGGATGTAGACAGTATTACAAGCTATGAGTCTGGGTGGGCTCCCTACAGTGAGTGAGTACAGACAGAAAAGAGAAGTGGTTCCTCCAGCATACTAACATCTAGAGTTCAAAAGGTACAGAAAAACTAACAAAGGAGGCCAAGAAAGAATAGGAGGAAAAACCAGAAGAGCACAATACCTGGAGGCAAGTGTGGAAAGTGTTTCAAGTAGAAAAAAGCGATCATCTATGTCAAATGCCACTGATGGATCAAGCAAGGTAAGTCCTGAGAATTCACCACTGGATTTAGCACTGAGGCAGTCAATGGTGTCCTTGACTTTGACTTTGGTAGAGTAATAGGAAGTGAAAATCTGACCAGAGTATGTTCCCAACGGAATGGAAGAACAGAAATTGGAGACATTTACTATAAAAGCAACAGTCTATAAACTCCATTTTAGCTTTATTGGAAGACTGCTATTCAGGACTAGTGTTGTTTGCCAGATAACTAGATATCTAAGCCCAAATGAAAAACACTATTAGTAGCTGCCTATAGTAGATGAAGAACTTAAGTGTCCATGAATTTTCTGACCATTTGTTTGGGGCACGGGTGTTATGTTGTTCTTTTTTTTCTTTTTTTTTTTTTGAGGAAGATTAGCCCTGAGCTAACTGCTGCCAATCCTCCTCTTTTTTCTGAGGAAGTCTGGCCCTGAGCTAATAATATCCATGCCCATCTTCCTCTACTTTATATGCGGGACGCCTACCACAGCATGGCTTGCCAAGCGGTGCCATGTCCTCATCCGGGATCTGAACAGGTGAACCCTGGGCCACCGAAGCAGAACGTGCGCACTTAACTGCTGCGCCACTGGGCTAGCCCCTATGTTGTTTTACCCACATTCAAAGTTGTACCTGTTATTCCAGATTTCCTTTTTAAATTTAAACTCTTTCCTTTTTTGCTAACATATATATATATATATATATATATATATATATATATATATAAAATGTACTACATATATGTATGCAGCATATATACAACCTCCAACTTACAAATAGCTTCTGCTTTAGAAATTTGTTTTTCTAAAGCAAAGTCAATAGTTTGGAATAGTTTAGAATCGCATAAAAATAATAAAAATATAAAAATAATAATTGTTCTATTTCTAAGCTGTCAAACGCCAATTCGATCCATAAAAGTAAGTGGTTTTCAATATACAACAGTTCTAACAGCACTTCTGATGGAAATTGGGCATTTGAGTCAATGAATAGAGCACCTACTAGGTACCAGGCACTGTGCCAGGAGGTGAGGAAACCAGTCAGCAAAACCCAGACATGGTTGTGCTGTCTTGGCA